CATCTACCTACTTCCACATATGTCTAAATAACCTCACAATCTCAATCCGCATATTTCAATGGTCCTTCGTGCCGGATCTCGGGCACTATACCCTGCGTCTTACGACTTTGTCATCGTTCGCCGTACAGCCCAGGGCGTCTCAGCGCCGCCTGCCGCCCGCCGCACGACTACACAACTCAGCCTATACTGTTATGTGGCGGCACGACCTGGCCCTAGGACAATTTACTTTTTGAATGCAAATCAGCCTAGGTGATATATATTCTTGAAAAATAGCTTCACCTTGTAAAGAAGAGTAGTCCGTTGCGGCTTTTCTGAAACTTAATGCAAACTAAATAAATTCAACTACCGGTACGCGTTTACCTATCATCTCTATGACAATAATATCCAAACGGAATGACTTGTACAGATCGTGGTCAAACTCATTGCTAAATGTGAACAGAAACTTACAAATACTGGTTTCTCAGTTAAATATGTTCTAAACTCTATAATTTTTCATATAATCTACGATAAAATCTATACACAATTAATTTAAATCTTCTGATGTCTAAGATACCAAATGTCGAATGATGGTAAACTTCATATTCCTAAAGACCCAACAACTATCGTAATTTTACTCCAGAAACCTCAACCTAGCCCTAATTTATAGAAAATTCAAACTACAGGTTAACCATTACATAAAAATGGCGTATTTGTGTGGTAAATAAACATTTTTCTTGCAATTTACATTTACATAACACCGAATAACGCTATGCAAAAAACACCCAAAGAACGATCCACGTGTTTCAGACCCAAATCCAATTAGCCAAGATATTTCGTAAATACACAATAATTGGCATCGCACTGCATGTACCAGAGCTAGAGATACTGCAATGTTCGTGCACTTCTGCGCTCACAATATCTCTCATCTCTTCTGGAGAACGTTTCACGAACTGGTGACCCGATACAAATTGAACTGCTCGACCGATAACTGCAACGCTGCATTTCAGCTTACAATCAAACACCGTTGAATATTCTTGCTGCTTAGGTTAGTTTGAACTGGACCGATAACTAACTGCAACGCTGCATTTCAGCTTACAATAAAACACCGTTGAATATTCTTGCGCTTAGGTTAGTTTGAACTGGACCGATAACTGCAACGCTGCATTTCAGCTTACAATAAAACACCGTTGAATATTCTTGCTGCTTAGGTTAGTTTGAACTGGACCGATAACTGCAACGCTGCATTTCAGCTTACAACAAAACACCGTTGAATATTCTTGCTGCTTAGGTTAGTTTGAACTGGACCGATAACTAACTGCAACGCTGCATTTCAGCTTACAATAAAACACCGTTGAATATTCTTGCTGCTTAGGTTAGTTTGACTGGACCGATAACTAACTACATCGCTGCATTTCAGCTTACAATAAAACACCGTTGAATATTCTTGCTGCTTAGGTTAGTTTAAACTGGACCGATAACTAACTGCAACGCCGCATTTCAGCTTACACTAAAACACCGTTGAATATTCTTGCTGCTTAGGTTAGTTTGAACTGGACCGATAACTAACTGCAACGCTGCATTTCAGCGTACAATAAAACACCATTGAAATATTCTTGCAGCTTAAAAGGTTAGTTTGAACTGGACCGATAACTAACTGCAACGCTGCATATCAGCTTACAATAAAACACCGTTGAATATTCTTGCTGCTTAGGTTAGTTTGAACTGGACCGATAACTAACTGCAACGCTGCAATTCAGCTTACAATAAAACACCGTTGAATATTCTTGCTGCTTAGGTTAGTTTAAATTGGTCCGATAACTAACTGCAACGTTGCATTTCAGCTTACAACAAAACACCGTTGAAATATTCTTGCTGCTTAGGTTAGTTTGAACTGGACCGATAACGAACTGCAACGCTGCATTTCAGCTTACAATAAAACACCGTAGAATATTCTTGCTGCTTAGGTTAGTTTGAACTGGACCGATAACTAACTGCAACGCTGCATTTCAGCTTACAATAAAACACCATTGAATATTCTTGCTGCTTAGGTTAGTTTGAACTGGACCGATAACTAACTGCAACGCCGCATTTCAGCTTACACTAAAACACCGTTGAATATTCTTGCTGCTTAGGTTAGTTTGAACTGGACCGATAACTAACTGCAACGCTGCATTTCAGCGTACAATAAAACACCATTGAAATATTCTTGCAGCTTAAAAGGTTAGTTTGAACTGGACCGATAACTAACTGCAACGCTGCATATCAGCTTACAATAAAACACCGTTGAATATTCTTGCTGCTTAGGTTAGTTAGTTTGAACTGGACCGATAACTAACTGCAACGCTGCATTTCAGCTTATAATAAAAAACCGTCGAAATAATCTTGCTGCTTAAAAATTAAAAAGATTATACAATTGTACAACGTAATACAGGCCTACAAATCTTTATGGACCACCTTCTTGCCTAACCAAGATGAATTTTTTTACAACAGCCATTTAGTTTCAATAATGCTTACTAGTATATTGGCACGGTACTGTAGTGTTTTGGTTGATAACCTTTTTACCTCGCCACAGATAGAGATGGAGGGGAAAAGTTACTAAAAAAATAAAGAAAATAAAAGCTTCTAAACCACTGCCTACTGTATTCTACCCAAACAAATTGTAAATATATATTTTCTACTCAGGTGAAATAAACTACACGGGTTATAGGCCTACTGTAATGTATCACCGGATGCACAAACCTAAGCAAGGGAAGCTAGATCTGATATGACTAAAACTACAAACTGAAAAATGTGGGACAGACTTTCATCCCTTGAAACAAAAAAATACCCGTTGTCTCTCCTGGCGCCGTTAAGGGACCTGCGGGGTAAAAAAACTGGCCAATTTCACGGACCCTTGGCTTGTCTTGGTAAAGATCACACTAACGAGTGAGGTATAGGCGACCTGACGGATGAGGATTAGGGTCGGCCAAACACTTAAGTCTAGTTAAATTTAGGAGCTTACGCCGCACCAATAGATACAAACTTGCTTACTGTGTCACACTCATAGGCCACTAGTGGAGGAAAATAATTGTGTCAATCGCTGATATTATCGATAAATAGTAGGCTACAGGAATCAGCAATATGTTATCACCATAAGAGAATTCAGTTTGAAACCTCAAATGTATAACTTTACCAACCTAAATAAACACCATATGATAAAATTTATTTAAAATAACTATTCTCATTTAAATAGGAATACGTTTACTTTTTAAAACATTCCTTTGAGTTTTTACACTGACTACCTACTTAATATATGTTTTATCTTAAAACGACCTTCTCGTTACAATTAATTAATTTCACAGGCCTCGCATGAAAATAAATTTACCAACGGAGAAATCATAAAAAAATCATAAGCCCCATTTTACAAATATTAAAATGTAATATACCGTCGCAAGTAGGCCCATATTACCTAACCATTGCCGCTAAAAGACTTTCCAATTCTTAATTTTATTTAAAAAACCCTTTTCATTGCTAGGCCCTAGGTAAGTTTTTGCGTTGTTTAAGTAAGTTTGGTCCGTTTACCTCCTTTATTTTACCGAATAGCCCATAGTGATCAAATTCGTTATTTAACTTAGATTCCATAGCGTATTTATTTATTTATTTCCCAACGGTTTACACCAGTTTACAAGAATATATACAATGTTGTGGATGGCAAAAATCATGCAGTGAAGTGGTAGTACAGTGAGTGGAAACAGCAAGAACATCATCAATACTTATTTAATACGCAAGCAGGTTTTTTGTGACAATTACTCCTCTAAAACTACTGGACTGATTGACGTGTTTTTGGTATCATTGGAAAGAGCGTAACGTGAAATTGTGCAGGAAACTTTCTTTTTAGGGAAATAATTATAGAGTGAGGCCCTGGGGCCCTTTAAAGTTTCGTATTTCTCCATAAGATTAACATGGAAAAGAAAATTGTTACGAAACTCCAATTGTTGTCAGAAATTAAAAGTGAGAAGAAGAACATATGTTAATTGTAAACAGTCAATAAGTTTGCTAATTTAATAGTTTGCTACATCATTTCCATAATCTTTGAGTCGAATCTTTTAAAGTCACCATAAATTATGACTGTTGTTTGTTTTAAAATAACGCATTTAATACTTAGCAATTGCTCGAATTCGAGCAACAGGGACACTAGTTATATACTAAATAACAATTAACAAGTAATAAGTAAATAGATACTAAATAAATAAAATCTCGTATTATTATCAATTAATTGTAGGCTAAGTGTAAGTATGTAGCATGATAAATTTAATGGATGCCGTAAATCTTGTTTTTGTCCAATGTTTGGTTTATTTTTATTACCTAACTTATCACAAATTATAATTTACGATTAAGTTCCGTAATAAAAATGCGATTTAAGTTAAGTGCCACTTATAAGTGTTATCTTAAATATTGTAAATACGAGGAATGGGACGAATACATTACGTTTAATTCGTTTACCAAAGGCCAATTGCGATAAAAGTACCGGTACAGTAAATACAATTGCGTAAAAGACTTGCAAGATAAAATTTAAATATTTTACCACAGGCCCAGTTAGAAAAATTCCACAAATATCTTTATATTTAATTTTTCCTAAGGTGAATTTAAAATGTATATACTGTATTTATTTTAATCCATATGAATACTGCTCGTTCTTGTTCATTACAGGTAATATTAATACGTCATGCCTATACTACCTAGATTAAAAATAATTAATTGGCCTCTAGTCTTGAACATAAATGGCTTATACACAAAATCGCAATGTAAAATAGATTTTCAGCTCTTTGAAAGCTAATGTTATAGAGCGCGCACTGCTGGATGTATTGATCCTAGCCGCTAGGTTATGTTTTGGTTCAACGGGTCTCGACATGAAAAATCCATTGAAACCCTGACGCGCACAAAATACTCTCGTGCCATATAAATGTAATTAATTATCTGCCATAAAATGAGCAAACATAACGAAATAAACTTAACCTAGCCGAATCCACTGAAAGTCTTACCTTTAAAAACAGCAATGTGGGATCCCTGCAACCTGGCGTTTTAGAAGATAAACAAAATCACTTCACAATCACTGCACTATCACGAAGATCGGTTTGTACTTATCTAATGGGGTTCAACGACTAGAGGCTGTGGAACCGGTTTGGACGGCTCCAGCACACTTCACTATTATATCGCTTTATTTGGATTGTTTTAACCTTTGGGAGCTTCTTCTCACTAAATCCCACCTGATTGTGGACAATTTGTTATCCGTGCAATATCGATAGTTACTTGATCACAGAATCGTACACTTGTTTGTAAATTTACAAAATTTATTAACCTATTTGTAGATGAATAGGTGATTTTGCCCTATTTGTAGATGAATTGATGATTTTACAAGGCTTATGACACTGGTTTAGGTCAATATTAGCTTACCATAATGTACCGATCTACTCTATACGGAGTAGGCCTATGCAGGTCCAGTTTTCAAAACGTAGAAAAAATTAATTAGTTAGCCTAAAATAAACGTATTACCGTGTAAAAACTATAGGTCAATAGTAAAACCGGACAGATATCCATTTCACACTAATACACACAACGCATTCTTTGTTGATATCGATTCGAACACTTAGCAGCACGCTTGAAACGCGGTAGGTGGAAACAGTGGTCGTCGAACTGAATGTTTCTAGTAAACGCACTAATATAAACACTTTTATTCACCGTGACACTAATAGGCGCACTTGTTCTGTCAGGTGAAAAACAAGTCCGGCGACAACACACCTCACTCGTTTGAGAAACACTCATTGACTGAAATGCTCGTCGAGCCGACTCGCCGACTGCAAGAGCCGGGCTGAGACGTTCGGGAGTTCCCGGCGATGATCGGGCGTTTTCGGCTCTCATCAGCTGGACTCGAAGGGACCCGAGCATTCCGGACTCGTACTGAGCTTCTCTTCTCGTCATTCTTGCAACAATCAAAATACTTGATTCGACTTTTTCTGTTTGTGAAATCACATCACTCTAGTCATAACATATTATATAAAATTTTTGACTCTGTCCTTGATACCTGTAATCAAATTAATAGTTTTTTTCATGTTCTATACAGTACTTCGGTAGATTGTGCAATAATTGTTGGGAAAAAAACCTAAATGTTGTGGGACGATAACTTATGTTTCATCTTGACATAAGACATTTAATGATTTATTGATCTTTAGGCAATACATACAATCGATTTTGTCATGGACGCTTGAAACGCACAAGTCAGTCTTAAGTACAACAGTAAAACATGCGACACTAAAGCAAAAAAATAAGTGTTCATTCTTGCAAACGTTCTTGCAAACGTAGAAATAAATCCAATGTATTAGTGCATTGTACATTCTAGTGATGCATTCGTATTTAATATTATAGATTTTTTACTAAAGCCAAGGTGATTGAATGACAACTGATTATTAAAATAATAATTTAAGTAGAACAAAGAGGTGTCTCTCCCGATCTCTGTTTATTATTTTTTTATGGAATTTCGGAATGGAGAAATACCATTGGAATTGTTTAGCTAAGAACCAAAACTTAATTTAGCTAAGCTTGACGAAGGTTGTTTTAACCATCCAAAGGTGCCTATTTCAACTGTAAAGAATACTATGAGAGTGTGAGCCCCTGTTAACTATAGGTATTGCAAAAGCCAAATTCAAACGCCCTGACAAAATAGACAAACTATTTACTCAAAAACTTAATTTCATATTTCAAAACGAACAAATGAAACTTATTTCAACATTTAATTACACTAGACACAAAAATGTAGGCCCTAAGCTATTTATATAATAGTATAACATACATTGTCTCGTAAAAATCTTAATGTATTATATTATCAATATTTCCCACCCATACATCTTATTGCCTGTTCAAAACCCATTGATACGTTAAATATACCTGTTAGACCACCATTCAATAGTGTGTTCCCCTGGAGAATTATACTACGTATTTTCCTGCTGATTGCATCCACAACCAATTAGTAAATATGTGTTTCAGTAATTATGTAACTAATTTAAATACGCTCATAGTGATAAATTTAAAACTTTACAAAACAATATTTTACAGTATTTTCCAAACACTTGATATTTCCCTTCGTTTTCCGGTAAAGCGAGAGAGAGGGTCCGGCTCGTTGGCACTTCATTCAAAATGATAATCAGATTTCCAGCGTCTCCCTTATCTTATCTATTTACTACCCTACATCCACCCTGCTGCCCTTACAATAGCCGCTAATCATACGCCGTCTGCTAAGGTTGTTCTTATCACAGCGCTCAAAATAACTTCCAGGGGCTTTTTTGAGTTTAATGTTTGTATTTCTATTAGTTCTATCAGTTCACTCTAACCCCTCTATTGTAAGGGCTCTTATCTTCCGAGCCATATTGCTTTTGCTCCTGCTTTTTAAATAATGGTAAACGGGGATTTTGAGGGATCCGATTTTGGGGTTTTGTGATGAAACAAGATGATATTCGTGGGGTTAAAGTGATGTGTTAATCAATCATGAATAAATCGTCATTGCCTTCAAGTACTGTATTACAAATTGTAAAAATTGTGCGTTGTGTGTCATGTATATTTTCACTGAAACTAAAACAGACAACACTTATAATATTAAATTTGTTGTATCTTAACGAAATTTTAGTTTAATGATAATTGATGTTTAAAAAAATTAGTATTGACTAATCGACAGAAAACTATATTTCAATAGTAATTTAATTGCTTAGTATCCACATTAATCCAAACCCTTAGAGATTTCATTTTAGTACTCTATGTAAATTTATTAATTTCTATACAATTCATATATTATTCTGATAAGTGAAAAATGTTTTCACTCGTTTTCTAACTTTTAATCACAGTTTTCTAGACCACACCTACGCGAAACTACTGAGTAATTTTGTTTTAGCATCTATAAAATGTAAAATAGGTACAATTCGTTAAAATTGTTATTTATGTGCTATTATTTTAGTGTTATTAATGAGTGTGTTAGTGTGTTATTTATGTGATCGAATGGGCACTTTGTAATTTAGTAATTTATAAACAAAACGTTTCAGCTCAAAAACAATAATTTGTGTTGTATTACTGTTAACTACTCTTACACTTCATTATTATCACCCAGCTTTCCATTGCATGTTTTGTTCGTGTTTTAAACTTGCTGAACACAACACACCCTTCCCAAGAAGTGCACACGAATTATGTATTGCCAGGCAAACACAAATTACTCTCAATAACCTAATAAGTCTCCCGCACTATCTTATCAGAACCATAATGAATCAGTGACGACTGACGAGTGTTTCATAATCGAACTCTTCACTTATCAACGGTATCAGTCGGGAATGATTTGTTGACATTGGTGACGAACAATTAAAGACCGCTGATGAGCAACACTTCCACTTGCAACCGTCTTTGGTGTGGTCGTTCTGGTTCACTTCAGTCCGCTAATTTATGGGTTTACGGACAGCATTTGACTGTTGTTTCCTGGAGATGAAAAGTGCCGGCTATTTCTGGAGGCTGCCATTTTCTGCGGCGGATGTGGAAATGTTTACACCGGAATGAAGAATGCTCAAAACAAGTGACAAAACACATATGGCGAGAGAATGAGATAAATGAGCTATAAACCAGCTGTTAATAATTAATGACGCTGTTTAACGGATTGTTGAAATTTCGTCTGTACAAAAATGTGTTTTCATAATTTGCAAACATCTTACTTCAAAATTAATGGCAAATTGTAGGAAAATTATTAAACATTCACAAACGTGCTCTTGAGAGGTTAAATTAAGGTGAATATTTACGTGTGATAATTGTGAAATATTGGATGCGTTTCCTTAGATGTTTATTACCAAAAATTTGACTGTACTGTATGTATTATATTTATTACCATTGGAGACTAACGAAACTATAGTTATTTATTTTTTTAGGGAGATGTGCTTATTACGCAAACAGGTGGCTAGCCTGTAGTGTGGGACAGGGACACCAACGGGTTAAGACCCAAAGATTACCTACTAAAAACCTGCTAACTCTTCGAACACTAGCCTGATAACACTTGTCGCACTTGATAATGGAGAACTAAAGTAACAACACGCTGACTTTCAAGTATGTTATCTAACTATCCTAGTAACCTACTAAGTAGGTATCTAAGTACTAGTGGAAATATACACGTTGACTTTTAAGTTTACTTGACCTTTTATCCCAGTTCTAATTTCCTCCAAGGTATCCCCTTGGTCTACTACCACTCCATAGTCCAAAGTAAGCTACAGTTTCCTCCATGTATACTCTAATGTTAGGCTTCACTGACCACACACTAATCACCACATCCCAGTTCAAGTTTCCTCCGAGTTCCCCCAGTCCTACGTCTCCATCCTAACGAACATACATGTCTACAAGGTTGCACATCTTGTAAATCAGTACCATGATTAACGCACCCCGTCTGCAGTAAACCACAGAGTAATGTAGCCTAAACTAGTTTCATTTGCAGTGTTGCCCGGTCGCCGCGCTGTTTACGTTTACCGGGCCCAATTTATGCGCAGGTCGCTCTCTGCGCTGTGCGCGCCCGGCTCACAGCGCATGCGCGGCACCTGATTTCATTACACAACAAATTGCGCCGATATTTATGGATCACGTCGCGCTGAAAGCTGTTTACTTATGTTGCGCCGCCGTGGGAAACGCGCAAACATTTGTGCGTTAAATTATTTCCATCAACGCGATCGTATTTTACCGCGTATAGAAATATTACCTGCTGGAAAACCTGCGAGGCAAATAATACCGGGGACTTGGTAAATTGGTTGGGTGAAGCATGTAACACTGACCAAATTGAATGGTGTACCTATTTAGTGAACGTTGTCATAATGAAACCATAGATAAAACATAGTCCCTTAGGACTAATAAACTAAGGGACTATGTTTTATCTGTGATGAATCCTAAGACCTGAGTACGCTTCTGCATGTTAAAACCCCATGAGTGGTGTATTTAAGTAGAACATTCTATATTCAACCAGAAGACTAGAGAAATTACTTGAAAGTGCTTTCTATATAGTTTACACTCAACTTTCATCAATGCGGAAACCGCAGCCAAATCAAGAAAAACTAGAAAGAAACCCTGGCAAAAAATAATAGAACACCATTTCCTAGAAGTTTTTATCATAGGCCCTACCTAATGTTGTCCTACATGTTTCATAATTTTGATTAAAGTAGGCCTATACGTTTCCCATTAGTTTAAACTTAAATTTGGTGGTTTAAATAAACTGCATTAACCACCCCTACAGATAGTAAACAATATGAATATGTTGTAGTGGGTGTAGTGGCCATGCGAATAAGGAAACACAATTTAGCTATCTGAGTAGTTGTGTTGTTGGTGATAAAGGAACACAACCCATGGAATGCATTTGATTCAAAGCATATGGCTAACTATAACAGAAATGAATTATTACACGCAAATTAATTTTGTCACTCAAATGTAAAGTCTTATGTGCCAATTAAAGGAATTGGGTGCGACTAAATTACTAATTAAGAACTAGCAACTGCGTCACTTTGTGACTTCAAAACTCATGATATATTTGATATATAGTAAAATTTGCCTTGTGAGTCATATTATTTTTATTGCGTGCTCTTCGAGGTATGTTAGAAAAATTACAAATAAAAAATTAAACATACTATGAAAACACAAAATCTAACGTAAGTCATTTTCTTCTTTATATTTTATACAAATAGCATGACAACATTTTACTTGAATTCACTGAAAAATCACCAACTCAGAGAATCCCATTTATGGATGTAAACCTA